GGGCTGTCTTCCTATGCTCCTTTTCAAAGCAAAGTGTCTCTGCTGCCAAGAGCGGGTTTGTCCGTCTCTTGGAGACAGCGGTTGTCAAGCCCAGAACAGCAAGCATGTCAAAAATAGCAGCGCCAGCAGACTGCGTGGCTGCAATTTCCTTTTGAAATGTCGGCTTTGCTCTCGCCAAAAGAGCCGGGGTCTGTCTATGCTCCCTGCAGCCGGCAGCGGAGGCTGCTGAAGGTTCCAAGACGTTTGCTAGGGGCCGGCGGAGAGTGTCTGCTGGGGAAACCCTCTCCACAGTAACCATGATGAGCTTGGAGTTGTGTTTAAAAGTGTTGTTGTTGTTATAAACCCCACCAAGGGTAGCCCCAGATAGGTGAAGTGGTAGCCACGGTGAGACCAATATTGATGATACTGACTATAATGAAGGCCCCTTTTCTCTTCTGTTCTGGAAAGAAGGGAGTCACTGTTCTGTTTGGATCAGCCACCGCTAGGTTTAAACCACTCCCCTCAAGGTCCCAAGGAGATGAGGATCAAGGAGGAATGGAGAGGCAGGGTGGACGCCTTTCTCTGGGAGTTCAGAGCTAAGGAGCCTGACACTCCCCAACCCCACAGAGCCCTCGAGTCCAGAAGGGGAAGTGGTTCATGGTGAGGCAGGGTAACATGAGAACCAAGAGCCATCTGCCGTTATTCCCGTGGCCTCATCCCGGACGCGGACGCTCCGTCTCCGCTAAGCCCAAGCTCCAGGCCTGAGCATCTGTGCAACCTGGGGCGGGCGGCGGGTGGAAGTGGGATGGAGGGAGGCAATCCTACAGCTTAAAGAATGCATTTCTTTTCCTCCCCTAAGAGATCTTGACAAGCTAGAGTGAGACCACACTTTGCTTCCTGGGGCAACAACACGCAGTCAAAACCAATCAGAGCCGGACACCAGTTCCAGCCAGACTGTCCCGGGAGGACAAAATTCTCTAGTTGGCGTTTACGTGCAGGTGCCAGTGACAGAAATACTGCCAAGAGCCAGGGCTCAGCCAGTGGAAGGAGGAAAGATAAGCAGGGGACTAGAAGGTGTCATGTGAGGAAAAGCACCAAGGGGAGGAAAGCAGGGATTCGTGAGCGAAAGGCAAGTAAGAGCCAGAGAGAACTGTCTGCGGGAAGGCGGCTCCCCCACTTCTGTGTGCAGGCAGCCCCCCACTGCGGGACCCCACCCAGGGGCTGTGGAAGGGAATGGGTGCCGCAGGGAAAGGGAGGAGGCCGGGGAGTACAGTCCTGACTCCTGTGCAATTTCTTCAGGAAGTCTGTGTTCACAGGTGCAGAGATTAGGCGGGGTTTTGGTTTGTTTGTGGAGATTTTGTTGTTTTTATTTCTGTTTTGCCAGCAAAGTATAAATCCCTTGGGCAAATTCACTGCCTTAGTCCCATGTAATAAACAATTTGCAACATACTTATTGTAGTTTAATGATGATAATTATGCTCTGCATCTACCAAAAGCAGTTTGACCTATCTTTAGAGCAAAAACAAACAAACACATATGCAAATCCCACCATGATTTGATTGTATTAAAAAAAAAAATCAGTCTTTGGCGCTGTACATGAGGAGCAAGGAGCAACTGTATGGAAGGATCTAAAGTGTCCCCCTGCAGCAGAAGAGAAAAACTGTTATTCCATCCTGGATACTCAGTCTGGTCCATCTTTAAAAATGCTGCACTCCTAGATTTAGGGATCCAAGCCATTCCCTGAGCCACGCTGTGACTCTCCCAGGTATTAGCTTTGTCACTTTTTTTTCACAATCAATGAGTTTTTTTTAATTTATAGAGTTGTACAACTCTTGCCACAATCCTGATTTAAAAAACCTCCAGTCGCCCTAGATCAGAGGTTCTCAAACTGTGGGTAGCGACCCCTTTGGCGGTTGAACGACCCTTTCACAGGGGTCGCCTAAGACCATCCTGCATATCAGATATTTACATTACGATTCATAACAGTAGCAACATTACAGTTATGAAGTAGCAACGAAAATAATTTTATGGTTGGGTCACAACATGAGGAACTGTATTTAAAGGGCCAGAAGGTTGAGAACCACTGCCCTAGATGGTTTGGCTCAGTGGATAGAGCGTCGGCCTCTGGACTGTAGGGTCCCAGGTTCCATTCCGGTCAAGGGCACATGGCCAAGTTGCGGGCTCCATCCCCAGTAGGGGGCGTGCAGGAGGCAGTCTATTAATGATTCTCATCATTGATGTTTCTATCTCTCTCTCCCTCTCCCTTCCTCTCTGAATTCAATAAAAATATATTTTAAAAAAATAGAAAACCTCCAATCCCACCCCCAAAGTCTCCCCATGTCCCGCTGCAGGTGGTACTTACCCTATGCTCTCCGACCTCCAGCAAGGAGAGTGCACAGCTCTCTCACAGACTGGTTGGGGAATCTTAATTCAGCTGGTCAAGGAGAGGCCCCTGCAGCTCGCACCACTGGGATTCATGTCCTAGCTTTTGTCCTGCCTTCAGTGCACAAGAGAGACTGCTGAGTACTGTAAGAACCTTCCAGTGAACTAAGGCAGTTAGAGGGTCACCCCTGAGTTAAGGCTCTTTCTAGGCTAATTCCCATCTTACACCTTTCTAAGTCATCTTTTCTCTGTGTATTTTACTATTTCTACTGTTCCTTTGTCTTAAACATCTCTGTAAGCTTCTCAAGGTTGAGGGACCCTAAGGTGAATATATTTAGTGCAATATGGCCGAGTATTTTATCAGACACTTATAAGATCCTCTCTCTTTCTCTCCGTCTCTCTGTGTTTGTCTCTCTCTCTCTCTTCCTTGCAGATTGAGGAAATTCTGGGAGACACCTTTCTGACCCCACCGCAATCTCCTCTTGCTTCGTAAGTTCAGGACTGCCCTCCACAGAGGTGAGCAGGGTAGGAAAAGGTGGTTTACTGAGATGCCAGGGATAATGTCTTCTCCGGCTGGAAAACAACAGTCTCAGCAAACACAGCTAGTCCTAGAGTCCAAAGTATGAGCTCCACAGAAACCCCAAAGGGGCTCCCAGCCACCAAAAAGGTGAAGAGGGGGAGAAAGATAGACAAGATACACACAGAGGGAAGAAGAGATTAAAAACAACACAGGGGAAATGTGAGAAGAAAAAAAACGCAGAGTAAGAATGAAAGGAAGGGAAAATGCAGGGAAAAGGAGATGACTGGGAAGGGCGGGGCACAGCAGCAGGGAAAGAGAAACAGAAGAAGAAACAAAAGCAGGTGGAATAAAATACATACACAGACTGAGAGCGAGGTGCTGCTGACGCTGTGGAAATCCAAACCCTGATTTTGCCCAAATGCATTCCCTCGCACCCTCTCTCTGCCCCTCCCCACCCTGATTCTAATTTGGCCCAAGGGACTGAGCCCATGCAACATTCCCCAACAGTAGGACCTACCTCAGATGCACAGATGGCCAGCTGCACCTTCCTCACATCCCGGGGTAGTCAGGCGGGAGGACTAGCCTGTGTCTCTGTGGAGCCTAACAGGTCCAGGACAGCCTCCAGGAGCTTCTGCGGGCCGAGTCCTGGCCTGTGCCGGCAGCTGTGAGAGCGCAGCCCAGCTGTCACAGCAACATGGGGTGCTGTTCTCTTGGTTCTCAGAGCACAAATCCACACAGAGGCCCAGTCAGAGAGGGATCACTTGGCAAAATCACCCTCAGAAACTAGGGCAGGTCACAGCCTCTCGGTTTTTCTTCGACACCTTAAGAAGAGCCACCTATGAAGTTCCTCCCAGGAGCTAGACTGTTCCCTGGTGGGGAAGAATTGTCGCTTCCCTCCATCGCTCAGAGCTGGGAGGAGCCTCTCTCCGAGGAGATGGAAAGTTCCTGGTGCTAGGGTGGACTGAAACCACTAGGACTTCTCAAGGCCCAGGTGGCTGCCTGAGGATCAAGTCCCCTGCAATGCTCCCCTTGTCATTTGAAAAAGATCATATTGACATTGGTTTAACTGGCAGTTACTTAGGATTCAAGTTTCTTTGAAGAATCAGAGGTGAAATGAGGCAGCTTCCATGTCTGGGCGGGGAAACCAGGAAGAAAGGTCCAGGCGGAAGTTGTAGGGACCTGCTTTTTCAAAGGTCACACATCCCTGTCCTGGCGCTCCCAGTCCCTGGCCCAGTGTGGGGGAGGTGCTCCCACTTCAGAAGCTGGGGATATGTAGTCTCCCGGTCTCCCTTGCTGCCCAAATCAGAAAATAGAGAGAACAGTCTGGAAGGTTGCTACAGCAACCAGAGTCCCTGGAGGCCCAGTGCTCCACAAACCCTTTACTCCCAGGCATGCTCGAACTTGGAGAAGAAATTTATTAGGAATGGTGATGAAGGTGATCACATACACACATGTGGAGATACACGCCTGCATGGTCCAACATTTACCCTCAGCTGGGCCCTTCTCCTTTCCCTAAATACCCAAGAGAAACTGAAGAGATTTGGAAAAGTAGCACTTCATGGCGTCAGAGCAGGTTTCTGAATCATGAACTCCTCTATCTCCCACTGTATTTCAGGTTTGGAGAAGCTGAGCTCCAATCAAAGTGGCCTCCAGTCCTAAGGATCACAGTGAACCTGCCTAAAGAGCACCCTCCTTTCTGAAGGGTAAGAAGAAAGACTGCAGCCCAGCTCAAGAGGCTAAGAAGGGATTTAAGGAGCTCATGGTCCAGAATGGCCTATTCTTGGGCTTTGGATCCAAGGCAGAAACTCTGGGGGGAGGCCTGGCCTATGGGAGGTGGGAGACAGGGTAATGAACTAAAAGTCAAGTCCATTACTAAAATTCACACATTTGCATAGAATCACCCCCAGCTTCCCACATGAGTTCATTGAACGTTCCCCATGAGGTAGGGAGGGGAAGACATTAATGTTCCCATGTAATGGGTGGAGAAACTGAGGCATTAAGAGGATGGTGCCAGTTACCCTGTAAAGCTGTGGCAAAATCCAGACTGAGATCTGGCACTCACAGAGCTGTAGTACCTCAAGAAAACCCTCAAAAGGCCACCCCTCCTAAGTTGCTCTTCAAGAAAATAATTTAGAAAAAAAAAATCTTATCCAAGAGTCTTAAAGCATAGATATAAAATTAAAAATATGTTAACAGTCCTTTTGGTTTCTGAACTGTACCCAAAAGAGCTCAGAACAGTACATCACAGTTTATCAAGGCAACAAACAAATGATGGTGTTACCAGGAGGGAAGTGAGGGGAAGTGGGCAGTGTGATGGAAGGCAGGAATTTCACGATGGAAGGAGATGGCTTAGTCCAGGTGGTGGTGACACCACCAAGTTACCTTACCAGTTAGAGCAAGTCGGCTGCAGCTCTGAGGGGCAGAGCAGGCGAGTGTTTGCTTGACTCAGCCAAAAACCTCTAATTGTGTGGTTGTCAGCAAAGACATAAAGCTTCCTCCTTACTCTAAACCAACTATTCCATTCCCAACAAGATGGGAAGACACCCACACTAGCATCCAATGTGTGCTTTACCTGTCTGCAGGTCTAAGCTGGAGTTGTTTTTAGAAAGCCTTCAACTGTTCTAAATCAAATTCCCAAGAAGAAGGGTGGAGGGCTAGAGAGGTTGGGGAGAAGCGAGGGAGAGAAACTTGCCATCTGTAACAACAGTCCACTGCCCCTCTGAGATGACAGCATCTGTTTAAGTGCCACCTCTCTTCAGATGACATGGACATGCCAGCTGCCTGACTCTATTCGACCATTTCTCCCGGCTCCGTGGTTGCCTTTTGCTAGTCCCTCTGCACAGGAAGGCACGTGCACACCGAGCATTTGGATCTGAGAAAGAACCTTCCTGGAAGGGAGAGAGAGTCAGGGGCTCAGAGTCGGGGGCACTAAATGTAGACCAAAGCCTGGTGTCTACTGTGCCAGAACACACCTGGGAGAAAACATCGGCCCCTCTGGTCCGGGACTCACACTAACGTCCTCCAAATGGCCAAGTTTAATTGCAGTTTCTCTAATTCCACTTGAGACTGTGCATCTAACGGGTCTTCTACAGGATGACCAGCAGGTGTTACAGGGCCCTGGAATAAAGCAGCAAGATGAGTCCTGTCTCTTTCCTCCAGCTTCTGCCAGGTACCGCCTGGCCAGAAGTTAAGACAGGTGCATGCCCCAAAGCAAAGGGCACTGAGGAGAGAAAAGAGACCCAGGAATAACCTGGTTTCCATCCTATTGGCATCTCTGTACCTACAGCTGTTAGAAGTCTCAGACTTGAAAAAACCAGAATCTTGAAGGAAAGTCAGACAGAAATCTCATCCACATAACAGAAGATGGCATGAATGGGTGGCACCATTAGAATTTCAAAAATATCACTTAGATGGCTAAAACTTGAATGCTGCAGGGGCCCAAGTAACAAGGTTGACAGTCCAGGTGTTTGGTCCTGGACGCCATGCACTAGGGGAAGGGAAGGAGTCAGGGAGCCAACCGGAGTTCAGGTGAGAGTCATGGAAAACGAGAAGGCAGCCTAAGAAATTATTTGCTCAGTGTCACCCTTCTCGTGTAGAACCTGCCTGCATCAGTCAGACCTCAGTGAGCATCCTTTTCTCTGCATACATCCGATGTGGAGTGGGAAGGTAGCTGGGTCTGCGCTCCCGGGCAGCCTCAGAGAATTCAGGCTTGCCAAGTCCACCGTCGGCCACCTTCAGGTCCGGTGCAGGCTGCCCACACGTGACGTGGGTGTACTGGCCTTGCTCCTCCTGCTCGGTCTCCCGGTGGTAGAAGTAGTTGAAGTTGGAGACAATGACCGGCACTGGTAGGGCGATGGTGAGGACCCCAGCGATGGCACAGAGTGAGCCCACAATCTTGCCTCCAACGGTCATGGGGTACATGTCCCCATAACCTACTGTGGTCATTGTAACCACTGCCCACCAGAAGGCATCTGGGATGCTGGGAAAGAGCGAATCATCATCGTCAGCCTCTGCGAAGTAGACGGCGCTGGAGAAGAGGATGACTCCGATGAAGAGGAAGAAGATGAGCAGGCCCAGCTCCCGCATGGAGGCCTGCAGGGTCTTGCCCAGGATCTGCAGCCCCTTGGAGTGGCGGGAGAGTTTGAAGATGCGGAACACCCGCACCAGACGGATCACGCGGAGGATGGCCAGGGACATGGCCTGCTGCCCGTTCTGGCCACCCCCTCCGTTGGCTGACTGCTGCTCCTGTTGCTGCACCAGCTCCGTGCCCAAGGTGATGAAGTAGGGGAAGATGGCCACCAAGTCGATGATGTTCATGATGTTGCGGAAGAAGGCGGGCTTGCTGGGGCAGGCGGAGAAACGCACCAGGAGCTCAAACGTGAACCAAACGATGCACAGGGTCTCCACCAGGAAGAAGGGGTCGGTAAAGAAGGAGCCCCCGAGAGTACTTAGTGAGGAGGGGCCCACTCCCCCAGGGGTGATGCCAGGATGAAAGGTATAGGCATCGTCTTCATCCTCTTCTTCCTCCTGACTCCCCCTGGAAATTGAGGAGACTCTGCTCACACCACCACCATTGCTACCACCTCGACCATCTGCACGGAACTGGGGCAAAGTCTCCAGGCAAAAGATGACGATGGAGATGAGGATGACCAACACCGAGACGATGGCGATGCCCCTGGCGGGCCCCGAGCTCTCCGGGTACTCGAAGAGCAGCCACACCTGGCGCTGGAAGGGCTGGGAGGGCAGAGGCTTCTCATCCTCGCCGCCCTCGGGAAGGCAGCCCTCGTCCTCCCGGAAGGCGGCCAGGGCCTCGTCCCCCAGCTGGTAGAAGCGGATCTCCTCCAGGAAGATGTCCAGGGGCACGTTGACCGGCCTCCGCAGCCGGCCCCCCGACTGGTAGTAGTAGAGGATGGCGTCGAAGCTGGGCCGGTTGCGGTCGAAGAAGTACTCGTTCCTCAGCGGGTCGAAGAAGCGGACGCGGCGGCCAGGGTCTCCCAGCAGCGTGTCGGGAAACAGCGACAGGGTGCGCAGTTGAGTCTCGAAGCGCAGCCCGGAGATGTTGATCACCAGCCGCTCGCTGCTACAGCAGCCCTCGCCCGCGCCAGCCTCCGGGAAGTCTCCCGCATCCTGTTGCTCGCCCTCCGGCCCGCGGACCTCCCCCGGCGCCGCCAGCGTCAGGGATTTCTCCGATCTCATGTCCTCTCCGCGGTGCGCTCCCCGCCACGGCAACAGCGCCCCCGATGCCACCTCTGGAGCGGCAGCGCTTCCCAGCGCCGGCGGCGCCCTCTGTCTAGGGTGGGGCCCGCGCTCCTCCGAGCTCGCGGGCTGACCTGCGGTGGGATCCGTGAGCCCTATACCCCTGGTCCCTGCAAGGGTAGGTCCGGGGAGGTGCCCTGGGCGCAGAGGATTGGCCCCGCGCCTCCAGCGGTCCGCGCCTGGGGCTGGAGCTTACTGGGATACCTGAAATCGCACACTGGCGCGTGTGACACCGGGTGCCCGAAAAGACGGCGCTTCACCCCCTCACCTCCGTGCCTGAGACTGGGCTTCTGGACGCAGGGTTAGCACTCCCCAGCTCCCACTGCGCGCCTCCAACAGCTCAGCCCCGCCACTGCCGCGGGAACCCAAGCGCCAGATGCGCCTCCCCCTCCGGCTCCGCAAAGACTCCTGGCGGGGCTCGGCCTCGCCCAACGTCCACCGCGGGCTGGCTCCGTCCAGCCAAGGTCGCCGTTCCCGCGCCACAGCCGCCACCTCCTCCCTGTGGGCCTGCCCTCAGGCCTCCGAGAGGGCCCTGGGCTGCCCCGGCGCCGGAGCGCGGGGACCCACCTCCCCACCGCTCAAGCCTTGGCTGCAGCCACCGCAGCTGCAGCGGCTCGGCTCTCTGCTCTGTCCTTCTCTCCCAACACACACTCCCGGAGTGACGTGGCAGGCCCCGCCTGCTGCCCCCTCCCACCCCACTCCCACAACACACCCCTCGCCCAGCCAGGGGTGCCGCAAGCCAGGGCGCTGTGAGAATAGACACACATTTGCCTCAGGTAATCTTTCCCGCGCTCTGCGGGCACGCCTCTCCCCTTCGCACGTTCACACACCGGGCCCCTAAACAAGCACTAATGGCCTCACACCACACCCCCTCCACACCCGCAATCAGCTTTTCTCAATGCCAGTTTACAGCGTTGACCTGCGCAGTGCATTTCATCAATAAGAAAACACACCCCACTCGCCACACGCACCGAGCACTGTGCCTCCACTCATCCAGAAATTTAATGAGAAAATCAAATCTTATTTTGTCCTTCTGTGTTTACAAAGACCGATTTGCCAGCATCTCCAATCTCTACTGAAAATAAAAAGGAAAAAGGAGAGACAGCATTTTTGAGATGTCTTGAGAGCTTCCTATTTAAATTGGACTCCATGTAAGTCCCCAGAGAATCCCATCCCTCCCTGTGCAAACCTGGGAGGCTGCAAGTCTCCTTAGGCATAGTGCCAGAAAAGAAAGGGGTTGGAGGCCTCCCGTTGTCTTTCCCATCAGAAGTTTTGACAGGAATCCTGGGAACTTGGGCAGCAGACCAGGTAAAGAAAAAACAAACAAACAAACAAAGATGGTGGCATCTCAGAGGTATTGTGGTCCAGGGAAGTGCGGCCTGGAATTCATTTGCTCCCAGCCTCCCTGGGAAGGCATCTGGGATGTCTGCTTATTGTGCAGACAAGAAAAGGGGTGAGTGGAAAGAATATGTAAGAGTGTTGATAAAAAATAAATAAATAAATAAATAACTATGTTTACTGAGCATCTACTATGTGCCAGCTACAATCTAGGTGCTTTCTCCCTCAGGCCTTACAACCCTATGACAAAGATGGCCTCTGCTCTAGGTTACAAGACTCACGTGGCCATATTTGGGTAGGGACCAAAGTTTGTTGTTAAAGATTCTTTCCAGAACTCTCCGGGAGGGAGGTGGTGAGAATGGTTTTCCATCCATTTTGGCCAAAGACCATATAGTCTTTTGTCACTAGAATAGACAGGTTAGTGTCTGGTGGAGGAGAGGTGGTCTGATTTTTAAGACTGCCACTTCCAGGTAGGCTTAACAATTGCTTCTCTGTGCCCCAGTTTTCTCTTTTGGGGGCATCTATGGCCAAATTGGCTGACAAATACGGGGTGTTTTTGTGTCTCTTCTTCTGCATATTAGATCATTAGTAAGAGTTCACTGAAGATAATGATGGGAATGATTCATAAAAGTACTCTCAAACCACAAGATACACATAAGAATGCTTTGCATTGCACAGTGTTTTAAAACCACAGTGGCTAGCTCCCAGGGGAGTGAGGGAGTGGGGTTGTGGGGGAGTGGGAGAGTGGGGGAGTGGGAGAGTGGGGGAGTGGGAGGGTGGGGGAGTGGGAAGGTGGGGAAGTGGAAGAGTGGGGGAGTAGGAGAGTGGGGGAGTGGGGAACTACGTTTCCTGGATGTGTAGAAAAGAGGTCCCATGGTGAGGGGGTAGGAGAGAGACCGGCATCTCATGGCATCTTTATTTTCCAGTCTCATCCCTCACCAGGCTTGCCTGTCTCCTTTCTGTGTTTGTACTGTTCATTCTCACTCCCTACTCTCACCTTGCATATTTCAGTGAAAAGCGAGAGGGAGCAAGTGTTCCAAGCCACCCAGTTAATAGTTTTCCTATTTACAGGCTATGTAATTGGGCAATTTAGCCTTCACCCAACTATGTTGTTCCATTCAAAAATAATTTTTAAGGCAAGGAAAAGAAAACCAACAACAACGACACATAGAAGATACTCTTTTACCCTTGTCCAGTAATTTGGAAATATTTTCTGGGTTGTAAATTGATTACTTACGATTCTTTTTGTATTTGTTTTCAAAATTTATAATGAAATATTCATTTGCATATTTGATTTTGTTGTTGCCATTTTTATCCACCAGTTTATCAACTAGACTAACAACTCCTCCAAACAAACCTTGGAGAAACATGGGAAGGACCGGGCATTTTTCCAGAAGGTGCTCAGTCTAACATGGTGGCAGGAACCACCATTTGAGTGCCCCTCGGGTTAAGCCTGCCAAGCTACCAGCAGAGCTGATGTTCCATGGTTACTTTCACGTGAGGCATAAGGCTGTGCCTCAAGAGAGGTTTCACTGTGCACAGGGAGGTTCCCCTGGAAGGAAAAGCCATTAGCAAAGTCATGAATCAGAATCTGTTCTTAGTTCTTCTGTGGAAGAGACTCATTTCTTAGCGTTAGAAAAGCCCTTTGCCTAGATCATTCCTGCCCAGCATAAGTGAGGGTGAGTCAAATCACACCTTCAGAAGTGCCAGTTCTAGGTGAAGGAAGACAAGGGAGACAGCCCCCTCCCAGCAGCATTTCCCCATTTTTCATGACAGCACAGATTTTTCTTGTTGTGTCTCAATATACAAGAAGAATATTTGCAATGACAGTAGGGGTCATTCATTCACTTAAAAAGCATTAATTGAGAAGCTACTGGGTGCCCATCATGGTGCCAAGTGCTGGAGATTTAGGAGTGACCTAGACAAAATATCTGTTCTAATGAGTTTGCATTTTCATTCAATGAATACACTCTAGGTATAAAATTTCAGCAGTCAACATTAAAGAAGATATCAATATATTGTAGTAGATGTTTGAAGAAAATAAATGACAAGTTATGTCAGAAATGAACCTAAGGATTCAACCCTGAGAAAGGTGGTTGGGAAAGTTCCCTCTGAAGAGAGAATCTTTCTTTTTTAAAAAAATATATTTTTATTGATTTTAGAAAGAGAGGAAGGGAGAGAGAGAGCAACATTGATGAGAGAATCATTGATTGGCTGCCTTCTGCACAACCCCTGCTGGGGATCAAGCCCTTACTCAGGCATGTGCCTGGCCAGGAATCCAACTGGGCATGGGTCGACGCTCAACCACTGATCCACAACCGCTAGACTAGATAGTCTTTCAACCGAGAGTTCAAAAGCAAGAATGAGCCAGCCTTGCTAAAAACAGGAGGAGAGCATTCTGGGAGACAAGTGCAAAGCCCTGAGCTAGAAAGGTCATGGGTGTTCAAGGATGACAGAGAAGGTGATGTGCTGGGAGGAGAATGGACACCAGAAGGGACCTGCAGGACAAGGCTGAAGAGGAAGCAAAGGGTACATTCTTGCAGGGTGAGGTGCTCAGGTTTTGCTTTAAGGGTGATGGGTGTGGAACCATGAGGGTTCTCAATCAGAGGAGAGACATGGTATGATTAACATAGAGGCTGTCCAGAGAATAAATTATGGAGGGGCAAAAATAAATAAATAAAAAACCAGGAAATTGTAGTAGTCTGGGGGAAAGATAATAGTGACTTGGACAAAGGTAAAGGATGAACAGAGATAGAGTGGGGAGGAGGCAGGAGAGAGCGTGGGAGGGTATTTCTGAGATAAAATTATCAGGAACTGGTCATAAATAGAGCATGAGAAATAAATAATGAATGCCAGGTGCTATTTATTGAGAAAGGGGAGAGAAAGGGTTAAACAAGTTGGGATCAATCAAGATCTCATTTTTAGATGTATTAAATTGAAGAGGCAAATTAGACATGCAAATGAAGGCATCAAGGAGGGAATTGCTTATTATGATAGATAAATTTATGATTTATAAATTTAAAATACTTAAAAATATTTAAACTCATGGCACTAAAGTCTCCTAGAGAGACAGAATATGGACAATGAAAAGGAACATAACCAAGATCAAGTTCTTCACATACTCAACAATTTACTGTTCAAGTTTAGGAGGAAGAGGACCCAGCAAAGGAGACCAAGGGAATGTCATGAGGTAGAAGGAAAACCAAGAGAAGGAGATGTCCAAAACCAAGAACTGGGACCAGACCCCAGGGCTCCCATCCTCCCAGGCCAATTCTGACCTTCCAGCTGAACACAAATTATATCATATCAGGAACATATGGTGGGAAGAAAAGGGTGCCATCAAGGAGGCATCATTTAAAGGTGGATGTATGTACCAACCAAGATGAGTGCATATAATGTGCACATAATTTGATAATTACTTATATTGTTATCTCTGCCCTGAACCTTAAAATGTACTTATTCCAGGTATAACAAGTGATCATTTTATTCTATTTTCCAGGCTTCTCTTAGTACATTTTTTACCTTGCTCTTCGCGTCTGTGTGTGTGTGTGTGTGTGTGTGTGTGTGTGTGTGTGTGTGTACATACATGTACACTCACTTGTCATTACCCCAGCAGTAAGATCCTTTCCGTTTTTCTCTGGGGAGAGAGGATAGTGGTCATAAGCTTCGCCTTGTTCCTCTGAATAATCTCTGGGAATGGTCTTTTCAGTGTCCTAGCACCCACAGGCCCCTGTGGAAGGAAAGAGTGGTAAGTGGCCAACTCCCTCAGTTCCCACTGAGTAAACACCTGTGCACAAGTATACACACACCCTCGTTAAGAAGAATTGCCTCTCTCTATTGCTTTTCACTGTAGAGGGCAAGCCACACAGTGATTGTTGAGGGCAGGGTGATGAATCAGACAGACACTGTGTCCTTCATCTTCTGTCTCACCTCTGGGCAAGGCTCACTGCCCTAGACCTTCTGTTCTTCAGGATGGGCAATGTGGAAGTTCCTCTGACCAGAAGATGGTCTCCCTCATGCTCCAGCCCCCTTCTTCCTGGGTCATTTATACTTATTCTCTTAACCTTCCCCCACTTTCTTTGCTGGGGAGATAAAGGAAGGAGGCTTTGAATCCTGGAGTAAATGGGAGAATAATGAGCAATTCTATATTTAGCACAGGATTTTTGCTATTTTCCTCTTGTTTTCCTCCCTCTACACACACACAAACACACACACACACACACACACACGCACAAATTTGGTCATCAATAAATTACATTTAAAAGAAATAAATGTCTTGAACTTTGAG